CACAAAGTACATTAAGAAGATGCTTCCCATAGGAACCCTCAGAAGAATAGCAGAGTACAAAGAGTGCGATGTCTGCAGCAAATATATTTACAACCCCGTTCTTATATACACATCCCTGACCATTGCAGACAACACAGTCCCCATAAAGTACAATTTGTGCAGTGACCACGAGATTGACATCAGCAATCCGTACAATTCAATACGAAAATCACTGTTTATTGAAGAAAGACACTTGGACCGATCAGAAGAAGCAGAGGAAAGCAGGGAACTGATTGACATCCTGCAAGTAGACAAGCTGATTGAGAAGTACAACAGAAAACTATACAATAATCTTAGAGAATGACCACAATGCAGCGGTAGCTCATTCGATTACCATCCACAAGAAAAAAGATAGAGCAGATAGCAAAGCGGTGCTGCTATATATGGATTATTCACTGAAAGACAGATATTCCTATGCTGCAAGATTCACATCTTGAACTGACCAATCAAAACAGTGTGTGTAGAAGTAGTAGGTATGCTCATCTATGTTTATACGTATCGATACATAGCTGTATATTCACTGATTTACCAGCTTCAACTATTCTTTTATTTTTATCTACGGAAATAAATTTAAATATGTATGTACTTTCAAGAGCTACACTTTTTATTCGGCCTCAGCAGTTAAGAAAATATAAATATAATGACCAAATATCTTTTCCAGCACAGTGAACAGGAAATAGCATTGTAGTAGTTTATAATAGAATGCAACAAAATAAAAGTTAAAAAGTAGAATGGATCTTTCTAATATGACAAATTTAATCAATAAGTCTTTCTCTGCAGCCATCTTCTATCTAGCACGAGAGTGGTAAGATGGCATTCTACATTTTTATTTCTCATCAAACAGTCTCATCTCTTTCCATCGTCTACAACACATCTACCATTCATTATTGTCCCATTCAGTGGTGCTAACTGTTGTGTTCTCTATCTTACTCAGGTACATTTTGTTCCTTTTTTCCCATTCGTCTTCTGTGTCTTTCTTTTTTACTTTCTTCTGTTTTTTTATTTTTATTCCTTTGCTCTTCTTTATTTCCGAGATGTTATTGTTTATGTAGTCTACAACGTACTTCAGCAGCTCAACCGACTCGTTGGCTACTTCGTCCTTAAGGCACTTCTTGCTCACTATGTCGATTATCTCCAAGAGCATGCTCTCCACTCCTATTCTATCTATGTTGTTGTACAGAATAAATATCCCCAGCCTGTAGCTTACCGTGCACTGCGAGCTCAGCAAATGAATTAGCAGATTGTACACGTTCTCTATTTCTATCAGCATGGTCATGTTGTTTTTAACACTTCCATGGTGCTCTTTTACTATCATGTCGTATTTAATGAGCAGCTGCACAAAAAGTATTCTGTTGCTACTACTCAGCACGTGCAAAGAGTTAAAAAGTATTTCAACAATTACTTCGCAGAATGTTTCATTCTTATAGTACTTATTTATGTTGGTGTTTATGTACAAAAACAGATCGTTTATGTCTGAGAGAGATAAAGCGTACAAACCCTGATTTATAAAGTACAAAAGGGTGTATATGATGTTCTTATCAGAGTACAAACTAAGAATATCATAAAAGATCTGCACATCAAACAAAAACAGCGTGTTAACAATGTTCTGTAGATCATCATTCCCTCCAGCGCTGTTTTTCCCATCAACAGATGCATTTACAACAGTTTTCTTGCTGTTTTTGCTGTTCTTGCTGTTTTTACCACTTTCGTAGTTTGTGATGCTCTCCTTTATTTCTGCTATTTTTATTTTCTGAGTCTCGATGTGCAATAAAAGAATGCCTGTGATGTATTTCAAATAGTGTGGTGGAAGTATTTTCGTATTATTTTGCAGAACATTGTAGATGTCCCTGTAAGAATTGCTGTGCAGAACTTTGTGTATTTTGTATATTATATTCTCGGGGTTGCACACGATGTTATTTACTGCTGTAAAAATGGGAAGCACCATTGCCTTGGTGTTATTGTTTATGTCGTAGTATATATCTGCATAGTCTATGTTCATCTTATTCTTTCTTTCTGGCATCTCTTTGGATGAGCCTGCAGTGTTTTTTGTATTGCTATTTCCCAACACAGCACTGTTTATCTTAGTATTGCTGTCTATGGACATATTTCCTAAAGAAGTAAGTATGATGCTGTGTTTTTTCAACAGTTCGTTATTTATCTGAGAGATGTTTGTAGATATAAACTCATTAAAAACCTTGTAAGTTACCGTGCTGCTAGTTATTTCTTCCTGTGTTATGACGGGAAATATCCTGTCCGTAATGATGTAAAATGAGCTGTTGTGTTTCTGAGAGGCCAAGACCTCTGGCGCGATGTGGAGAAGATCTTGCACATACTTCAAAAGAGGGTAGGACTCTTCGGCCACCGTGCTATATGCGCCCTTATACTTAAATATCGTGCACTTTTTATTCTTGTACACCCCCTCGTATGAAGTGTACACATTTGTGCTAGCCAGCTCCTTGTCTGTTGTAAAAATAAGGCCGGTGCTGATCTTCTTGAGGCTCCTTAGAATGTTGTCCATGCGGAACAGAAAAGAAAAACTAACTCAAAATAAATTCCATAAATTAAAATAAAAAATAAAAATAGTCTAATAAAAGAGTAAAGATGTTTTGCTCTGAATAGATTTGAAGTATGCAAAGGCCCTTCAAAACGCATTGAGAATGTCTTGTGTGCTATCTCTTTCTGTGCTGTTTGGCTATTTTTAGCTTCTTATCTTTCCTTCTGCTTTCCTTTTCGAGCCTTTCTCTTCTCGTTTTAAACGGGGTGCTTTTTAAGTGGTACTATTTTTAATTCTTTTTTGTTTGTATTTTAATATTAAAATATCTCAGCATGAAGACAACAAAAAGAGAAGTGCTGCCAAAGTACAAAATAGTGTTCCTCGGAGATGCAGCAGTTGGCAAAACCACTCTGATAACAAAGTATGTTTTTAGCTCAGAAACGAAAGACTACTGTCCAACAATAGGGGTAGACTTTTTTGCGCTGAAAACAGAGATAGCTGGAAAGACGGTGAATCTGCAGCTGTGGGACACAGCAGGACAGGAGAGGTTCAGGTCGCTAATACCCAACTACACGAGAGATTCTTTTATGGCCGTGATTCTCTTTGATCTGACGAAAAAAGAAACATTCGAGAGAGTGGACGGATGGATTGACGACTTTGTCCTGAAGAATAACGACTCAAAGTTGAAAATACTGATAGTGGGGAACAAGCTAGATCTGTTTAATAAGATAGAAGATAAAGAAGGACTGCCCACGAAAGAAGAAATAAATGCTAAAGTAGAAAAGTACGGTGCGTCGTACATAGAGACGTGCTCGCTGACCGCAGAGGGAATAAACAGTCTAATAGAAGAAATAACAGAGGCCATAAAAAACTCATCTGCACCAGAGCAGAGCATGCCTGAATTTACGATAGAAACAGACAACAGCAAAAGATGCCTCTGTTTATAATAAAGAACTATACACTTATCCAAATGGCTTAAAAATCAAAATTATTGTGAATCTTTATTTTATATCTAGCAAGTTACAGGCAAGCTACAGATCCCAGTAGCTACTAGTAACATCGCCATAATTAGCTGCATTAGACAGCAGTAGCATGGCAATCTGCAGTGATAACTATCTAACTAATAGCGAAGTATCTGAGTGCTGTAGCTAGCCTAACTGGTAGTCCTTTGGGAATTTATAGCAATAATCATCTGACCGTAATTATCTATTCTATTGCTGCACTCTTAAATATGTCTGCATTCTCAAGGGCATAGGCTGCTCCTGCGGTAAGTATTGAAGATGTAATAACTGACGCAGGCCCTCCTCTGCTTCCCAGGCTGCCTGCTATGCATCCTGTGATGATAGGCCTATACACAGAGTTTATGTCGTATCTGTCTATCAGGCTATCTATCACAGCGTAGCTGCCTCCTATGATCATTGTGTCTGCCACTCTTCCGCAGATGGAGCTGTTCTTGTTGGCCATCTTATGCACCACTCCGATGCCCAGGCCTATGACAGAGCCGCTTACAACCCCCAGGGCCACCTTGCTCAGGAACTCTCTTCTTTTGTTTCTCTCTTGCATATAATAAAAAAAAAGCAAAAAAATTATGCATAGACATAACACAAATAGTCCAGTAAATAACGGCACAATAGAGAACACTTGCTGCACAGATAGCAGCAATGGGCGTGCAGCAGAGAGTACTTGTATGGCAGCGTGCAGAAATAGTGCGCCAGTGTGCAGAAACATTGGAAATGCAATGGCTGGGATACCCAGAAAGAACAGAACGCTTTCGGTGCTCTACAAAGGCAGGATATTCTATGCGCTGGACAGAGCCGTGGTATCAGTCCCCGTAGAAGAGAGAGCAGGCAGTACTTGTGGTGCAGTGTACAGTAATATTGAGTACATGACCACAGTAGATAGCACTATTTCTGCTATGTACATTAACTACGACACAGTTTCATTGGGCACTGTGGCGGGAGAGGTTGTTCTGATGGACTTGAAAAGCAGCAGCATACTTTTTAAGGACAGTGTCAATACGGCAGTGTACAGCATATCCCACACACAAGAGAGCATCCTTGTATCAATACAGTATCAACTGCTGAAAATAGAAATAGAGACCAGCACTTCTGAGAAAGTGTGTAGTAATAAATGCACAATGGAGAATGCTTCTGAGACAGCGTGCAACAATTATACAACAGTCAGGGAGATGAATGACATTGTCCTATTCAGCGATGTCATTCACACGAATGGTGGCAGTGTGGTGGTCTATTCGAACTCAAACAGCCTATTTGTCGATGAGCAGTGTGTTACCTACACAGGCAATGTGGTGTTCGCGCGGGCTATTTGTCTTCCCGATGGATCGGTGCGCGTTGTAACAGGCCTCAGCACACGAAAGGTGTACATCTACGAGTACCAGAACAAGAAGCTGAAGCTGAAACACCTAGTTACCACACAGAGCCTGATAAGTGATGGGATTCTTCTGCCAAATAACACACTCATAGTACTAAATAATAGCATAAGCATATACGAGCACAGCAGCATGATGGAGTGTGTGGGAATGGTAGGGCCATACGATGAAGACATAGTGAAGGCGCTAGTTGCCACAGACAGTGCAGCAAGTAGCAGCAGTGCATTGTCACATGCTGCACACAGCCCGATAGATAATGCAGACACACTCAGTACCCCACATAATGTTACTACCTCTGCAGCAGGGAGCAGTAGTGCATCGGAAGTAGACAGGATTATCGACAGCCTGTACATCATATTGAGCTCAGGCGGAGTGTTTAAGTATGCCCCGCGCAAGAAGACCTTGCCTTCTTCAGATAGCATGCCCTGCCCAGTAAATAATAGCAACCCATCACTACTTATAGCACACAGTGCACTAACTAGCGTGTACCACATGCTAGACAGACTGAGCGCCCTGAGGAACACTGCTGTAAACATCACGTCAGGCAACATGGCGCCTATTAAAGCCATGGAAGTGTACAAAGACTGTGTTATAACAGCTAGTGCCTCGACTGTGCGCATGTTCAAAATACGCAACCACCAGCTAGTAGAAGTGTTCAGGCCTGTGATCGATGGCTTCCCTGTCAATGCCTTCGTCACCGACTGGAACGGCGACTCTCTCCTTACAAACAGCAACAATATTCTGAAAGTCTACAAATCTACAAAACTGTACACTTTTGTTGTTAACGATGTAATTGAAAAGATAGAGCCGTTTATCTCAAAATATGCCAGCTATATTTCCTTACTGAGTGATTCCGCCGTTGATTTTGACAAACTGAAAAATGACTCTGTCATTCTCGAAAAAGAGGTGGAGCATTTCACAAAAAACAGCCTCTCAATCTACGACCATCTTGCATTCACAGCTGTAAAACAAGAACTATCTCTAACCACAGTGCCTATACCATCCCCTACTCCTGAAGAGTCCGAATACATCTACAAGACAATAGGAGCAGACACAGGCCTGTCGAACAACCACCTCCTAGAAACAGACAAAATATACGGGTTCCCATTTGAGATATCCACAATGCTAAAAATAAACCAGACGCTGCTTGTCAGCTGCAACTCGTCGCAGAAAGAGTTCTCAAATCTGTTCGTTCTGAACAAAGATCTGGAAACAGTGCAGAAAGTATTTGCGCACACAAAAACGATCACACACATTCTGTCATCTGAGAGCGTAGTGCTTACAATTGGAAAAGACAGAGCAATTGCCATTTACAGAATGCTGCAGAATGAAAATGCTCCAGTTGAACTGCTGGATACAAAAACAGACCATAAGAAGGAAATACTCACAGGATACTTTAGAGACAACAGAATCATCACGGCATCAAAAGATAACACAGTAAAAACATACGAAATAAAAAACGAAAAGCTGTCCATAGTAAAGACAGAGACAGTTTACAATCCAGTTACATCGATAAACTCTCTGGAAATAAAGACAAAAACAGTTCTTATTCTAGGAGACACGAACGGCTGCCTGACAATAGACAATATAAAACACAAACTGCACAACGCACCCATCACCCACATAGAAATATACAGAAGTAAAGCAGAAACCAGCATAATCACAGCAACAAACGAAGGAGTGCTGAAGATAACAGACATAAGAGATCTAATCAACTAGCTGTCTTGCTACTGGTAAAATAATAAATATTCTATTTTTATCCCCAGGCTATAAAACATAAACATTTTCTTCGAAATACTTAATTATCATAGGGATTGGCCTAGTCTTAGCTACTAGTCATTATAATCAGCTAGTTATTATACAATTCATCCATTAGCTATCGTTGATTAACTCTTAAAGATCTCAATCTACCATTAACTTATCTTTTTAACTTATCCCGTAGTATTATGCATTTTCTCAATTTTAGTCTAGCTTTTCTTGTTTTACTGCAGCTGTCTGTCTCCTACTTAGAAATTTCTGCTTACTTCAGCCTATCTCAGCATTCTTTGTCTTATATCGTGTGCTATTTCTAATTCTCCCAGTCTGTAGCTACTTTGTTGCAATGACAAATAAATAGAGACACTGTTTCATTTTTATTGTGTATTGTTTCGCACGAATATATATTTATTTTATTTACAAATAGAGTCTATGAATTACGAAAGAAAGGATCAGGACGACTTTGAAGATATCCTGAAGAACTTAGTGCCGTACGATGAAGCAGAAGATAGAGCCAACTCAGCCCAAGAAGAAGATTTAGAAGTGTTCGATATGAGCATGGTGGAAAACGATCTATCATCAGACTACACAGCCGATAACTTCTTCATTACGAAGCCAGAGCAGAATAAAACACAAGCTGAGCCAGAAAAGAAAAACAGCTCAGATGAGCAGAGCGCTCTCAAAGTGAACAGTGAAACACCAATTTACCACACAGAGAGAGAAGATAGCTATAGTAACTACATTCCAACAGATAGCTACAGTCCAACCGATGGACAAATAGAGGATAGTAACCAAGTAGATGAAGGAATGGACAATAGCTATAGCGAAATGAACAACTATGAAGATGAACAAGTGAATTATGGAGAAATAGACAATAATCATCAAATGAACAACAGTTATGAACATTATGCGAACAATGGCTACGAACAAGCGAACAATGAACAAGTGAACAATGATTATCAGATGAACAACAGTTATAACTTCAGCTATAACCCAGCCAATACCCAAGTGAATAATCAGCAAGAAATTGACAACTTTAGCTACAGCCCAACTGGCAATGTGACAAATGATAATGGATTTGAGTACGAGCACAGTCCAGCTGATAGCCAAGCGCGCAGTATTCAGGTAGGTGATACTTTTGAATACACCCCAGCCGATGAACAGGGCTCTCAGCCGAATATAAACCAGCTGAGCAATGCAGCAGATAGCTCTGGCCCAATAAGACACTTAAACAACTCACTGTGGCATGACTCATCTGCAGACGGCTCTAGTGGTATTTCCCATCAAAACAAATTACCTGAAAATGACAGCAATAATAGCGCAGAGTGTAATAATTACAACAGCAACCATGAAATATTCCAGCCTGTTCCTGCGTCATTTAACAGCTCGCCTGCTAGCAACTGGACAATGGAAGAGTACTTCAACCAGGAGGAGAGTGCAGATGACGAGCAGAGTGCAAGTAACTCAGATACAATCAACAACTATGTTGATGGATTTGATAACTATTCGAATGATGAGACTAACTCGGTTTGCAATATTTCCTCTAGTACGCACTCACTTACGCCAGAAAGAGAGGTGCAAAACAACCCAGAAAGCATAGAAATAGCAAAAGACGAAGAATCACCGCATGCCACATCGACCGAAGAGTCGTCACTTGATGAGCTGTTCAAAGACTGTCCACCCATTGACCCGAACACTTTTAAATACCAGCCACACCAGCAAACACAGCAGACATACGAGTATCCTGAAGAACAGCACAATTACTATGCAGATCAGCAACAGACTAACAGCTACAACGTAGATCAACACTCTCTAGATAATTACCACAATGATCAGCCAACAATTGATTACCAAAACGAACTGCCTCTAGCTAGCTACTACAATAATCAGCCAACAATTGATTACCAGAATGAGCTACCTCTAGCTAGCTACTACAATGATCAGCCTGTTGATTATCCAGTGGAACAATCTAGCTATACTGTAGAAGAAGCCAATTACGAACAGCCCTTAGTCAACTCTTATAGCGGTCAAACTAACTATCACATGGATAAACAAACATCTATCCCCACTTCGCCATTCCAGCATAGCACCAAGCCCATTCCTGTTGAGCCACTGTATACGTACCATCTGCCTTCCTCTGGCGCCCACACGGTGCCACTGCAGACTGTACCAGAAACCGTACAAAGTAAAAACAAAGAGGAAACAGAGCATTTATCATCAGCACCCTCTGCCCTTATTCAGCTAGCCTTCTGCAGCGACCGTTTAATCATTGCATCCTCCACGGGAAGCATCACTAATGCATCCCATCTGATGGCCAACCCAATAAAAACGGTTGAACTCCAGGGAGAGATAGAAGTAGTTAGCATAAAGCA